CAGCAGAAGCTTTCGTGTCAGTTTCTTTCGTACTCCCAATGCTCTATGAAACAAAGGTAAGTGTCCGACATTGAAAGAAAAAAGCTTAGCTATCATCGAGTCAAACTAATAATTTGGTACCCATGAAGAATACCTGAAGGAAAGAGGACGGCACACCGATTGTTCATAATTTCAAGCGACTGGCATTGAAAAATCTCACTGGCAGGTACAATCTCCCAAAAAAAACGGGAAATTTTGGAGTTCGCTTGTTTCTTGGATCCTCACTTCATTGATGAATTAATTTTACCTAGTTACTGCTTATTCTCGCGAATGGAAATAGTCTCAATTCTAGATATTATCTCCTAGAATCTCCTGTCATCACTCAAGATGTGACTTCTCGTGTGCGAAAGAAGGTTTACTCGATGGACCACAGGTGCATCCCATCTGTCTAAGCACGCGTCAGTGAATCTCCTCATCGCACATTTCACTTGGAACCTTCCTGCGACATGGAAGAAGAACTCGTCGACGATTCCGGATATGCAAACGCTCCACCACCTAAAATGATGAAGTCTGAAGGGCTCATGAAACTACTCAGCCATATGAAAGCCTCGAACGAGAATAAACAAACAACGATCGACGAAGTGGGATTGTATGGGGCAGATACCAGCAGGAATGGGGAAATCAACCATGAATTCTGGAGAGAGAACGCTAGAGGATACCCAAATGGTTAGGAAATACCTGGCCATTCCTGCGACGTCTGTGCAGAGTGAACGCCTCTTCTCCCGAACGGGAAATATTGCTACAAAGTTGCGCTGCTCTTTGCTCCCCAAGAATGTCAACAAAACTTTCAGTTATGATGGCAGCTGAGAGCGAATAATTTCATGGATCCTGGGGGCCAAAATAATTTTTTTTCCCCTCATATGGTTTATCAGCCGGGATACCTGATCGCCACCTTCTTCCCGGAGTCTTTGTTTTTGGTCCGATGCATCGATACACTATCGATAATTCAGGTCGATGCATCGATGTTCTGAAAACAGCTATCGTGACAGCCTTACTTTCTAGTGGCGGTCGAAAGCATTTATTCTTAGTTGTTGTCAGACAGTTGCCAGCAAACGATCGTCGGCGGAATCTCCTGGCAAGATTGTTCTTCGGGGCATTTTGCGGACAAACTTCGCGGAACCAGGAACCATGAAACTACGCTTACATTGCGTACAGACATCATTTGAAGCAAAGGAAGAAGAATACTGCAAGACAAAAGCCCGAATTCTTGATATTGAAAGTAGCCGTGACGGAGGAGCTTCGCCAGGATTCTAAATTAAAGTGAAGTTTCCTCAGAAATCAGACGAAAATATTTAATGAATTCATTCTCAATATTGGACCTATCTGTGCCCGTCTTAGGTTCACAAAGAGCGGGCATCTTTAAAATCGGTCACATCTCTGCCATTCAGTACTCATTCTGCGACTATCCGGAATCGAAACTAGATGGAGTTCGTTTCGTTGACGTAGCTACATTAGGAAAAATGTCAAACTATATCTGGTGTTCGCGAGAGGTCAGCGTCCTTCAAATCGGTCGTGTTTCAGCGATTCATCATTCGTCTTACTGCGTTTCAAAATCCAGCCGGATTAAATTTGTTTAATCGATTTCTCATCATTGCGCAATATAATCGACTTAGTCTCAAATTCGCGATGCCGTGCGCCCTTGAAATGTGTCTAATCTCTGATATTCAGTAATCTTTGTACTACGGTTCACACTTGTGTTCGGGAAGGGCCGAGCGTCCTTGCAATCTGTCGCACTTTCGCGATTCAGTGTTCATTGTAAGACGATTTGGAACCAGTGCTAGATTGTGTTGGTATCATCGTTGAAACTAAATTATACATAATGGTAAACTTGGTCTTGTGTTCGCGAAGGGCGAGCGTCTTTGAAATCGGTCGCTTCTATGCGATTCAGGTTTCTTCGTACTACGGATCCCAATTGGAGCTACAAGGAGTTGGTTTTTTTCGTCGTAGCTGAATTTGAGAAAATGTCAAACTACGTGGGGAGGTGCAAAAGTCATGGCAGAAATGCTGGTCCATGGAAAACCTGACAAAATATCCAGTAGATATATAGACATATACGTTCCATAACATTAACCCGACCTACCCACCCCTATTTGGTGGAAATGAACTCAATCGCGCAGACACTGCTGAAGGGCAAAGAAGAGCAGTCACCAAGAATGGACGTAAAAGAAAAACAGCGTGCCGTCATTGAATTCCTTGTAAAGGAGAATGTGAAGGGAGTGGATATTGTGAGACGTTTACGTACAGCTTATGGTGAGTCCACTCTGCCAGAAAGGACAGTGTACAGGTGGATTGCGTCCGTGCGTGAAGGACGAGATGTGGAAGATAGAGACCGATCGGGCAGGCCGTGCGCGTCCACAACGCTGACAACATCCGCAAGGTATTTGTGGTGCGGTGTAACCGCCGCATAACAGTGAATGGATTGGAGATAGAGGTTTGCTTCGCTCGTAAGGAGATTATCAGCATCATTCCCGACGAATTGGGCAATTGGTAAGGTGGCAGCAAAGTGGGTCCCACGCATTTGACGGACGCACACAAACAGCAGCGGCGCAACATCGCCCAAGACGTGCTGGACCGTTTCGCTGCCGATGAGGACGAATTCCTTCACCGGATCATCACAATGGATGAGACGTGCGTGCATTTCTTCGATCCTGAACGAAGCAGTAAAGCATCCAATGGAAACATACGGGGAGTCCACCATCAAAGAAGTTGCGTGCCCGGACGTCGGCAGGGAAGGTCAAGGCATCCATATTCTGGGATCGACATGGCGTTATTCTCATGGACTACCTGCCACATGGAGAGACCATCAACAGCGCGTACTTCGTCAACGTCCTGCAAGCCGGCCTCCATTCTGCACTTCGACGAAGACGACCAGGCAAGCTCCGCCGTGGCGTCGTGTTTCATGCGGACAATGCACCACCCCACACCAGTCACGCTTCCGTTGGTGCCATTGCCTCCATTTTACCGCATCCGCCCTATTCACCGGATCTGGCATCATATGACTTCAATCTTTTCCTGGCCCTGAAACGTTTCCTCCGTGGACGACACCCGTGAAGACCTGACCGCAGTTGTTGGACGCTGGCTGAAGAGCCAACCCGCGCAATTCTTCGTCGACGCATACGACAAATGGGTGCATCGGTGGGAGAAGTGCGTAGTGTGCATGGGGACTATGTGGAGAGGTGAGGTATGAACATGTATAAGTGCTTATGTAGTGACATTTGCAGGCACCATGCCAGGCTTGCATTGTACCAACTTTTCTGCCATGACTTTTGCATCTCCCGTCGTAGGTCTTATGTTCGCGAAGGGCGATTTTCTACCTGAAATCGTTGGAATCCTTCCAACGATTCAGGGTTTTTTTGACTGCGAGTCACAATTGAAGAAACATGGAGTAATTTTTTTTGTCCTCTCTTAGTTTGAGCAAATGTCAAACTTGGTCTTGTGTTCGCGGAGGACGAATGTCATTGAAATCCGTCGAATCCTCACGATTCAGGGTTCTTCCTACTTGGACGACACATCGGTGTTAGATATATTAGGTTGGCTAATAAGTCTTTGCGTTTTTTCTCGATCAACATTATTTTTATTTTCATTAATTCTGAGATACCTTCAGTCAATAATATATGCCCCATCACCATCCACAATCTGTCTCCATCTCATAGGCAGCGCGTGGATCCCATCCCTGTAGAAGCGGGCAGGCTTCGATTCGAAGAACTCGCGGAGGTCAGTCTCGAGTGCCTGTCGATCGTCGTAGCTCTTCCCATCCAAATGATGCTGCAGGGCACGGAAGAGATGGTAGTCGGAAGGGGCTATGTCAGGGGAATACGGAGGATGGGGGAGCAGCTCCCATCCCAACTCGATCAACTTTTGACGTGTCACTTTTGCCGTGTGTGGTCGTGCGTTGTCGTGCAGCATGTAGACTTTGTCGAGCCCTGGATGTCTGAGATCGAGAGCGGACTTGAGTATTTCCAGTTGAAGGCAGTAGGAGTTGGCAGTGATTGTCATATTGTTTGGGAGGAGCTCGTAGTGGATCACGCCGCGAACGTCCCACCAAACTGAAAGCAGTACCTTTTTCGGGTGAAGTTCGCCTTTCACGTCCAGTTCCAGCTGCTGTTGTGCATCTACCCACTGGCGCTTCCTACTATGGTTCACGTAGAGGACCCATTTCTCGTCTCCTGTAACCACTTGATCCAACCATTCGAAATGGCGAGATTTGCTCAGAAGAAGAGTTCAGGTCTCGGCGCGCAAATCGAGGTCTCTCTGGGCGAGATGGTGTGGCACCCAAGATCCATATTTGTTCACTTTGCCGATTGAGTGCAGCTGTCTCTCCACTGTTCCATGGGTGCACCCGAGTGAGAAGGCCAAAAGGCCCGCAAATCGAGGTCTCTCTGGGTGAGATGGTGTGGCACCCAAGATCCATATTTGTTCACTTTGCCGATTGAGTGCAGCTGTCTCTCCACTGTTCCATGGGTGCACCCGAGTGAGAAGGCCAAACAGCGAGTGGTTTGACGGGGGTCGGATTCCACCAGGCGACGCAACTCGTCCACATTGCACTCGACTGGTCGTCCGGAACGCGGTCCGTCTTCCACGGAGTAGTCGCCAGAGCGGAACCGATCGAACCAGTACATGCACGTACGCGGAGAGACCCCTCACCTATCACCTGACAGATATTTCTGGCTGCTGCCGCTGCTGAGTGTCCCTGGGCGAACTCATATCTGACACAGTGCCTGTGATAGGTCTTTTCTGGATCCATTATCTTAGACATAAAAGCAAAAAAGGTTATAGAAAAAATAACTGAGAAATACAATAGCATCTAGACTACAACTCAGAACCATTTCGAAACATTTTCAAAAAGACGCTGCAACGTGAGAAGATTTCGAAAAAAAAACGCAAAGACTTATTAGCCAACCTAATACTTTCGCAATCTATAGAGTATAAATCATCATCAGCTCCGGCTCCGGCACCGGTCAATGGGTACGAGTTCAAAATGCGCCATCAGTCTTCCGGTCAAATGTGGCCATCAACATAGTCCTAACATGAATATAAAGATTATAAAATTCTTGAAAATCGGTGGTTCCAAATTGAACCTCTGAGCACGATTCTCAATTTTAGTCTGATATCAGATCACTAAAAACATGGTTCCAAAACCCTAGGTAGATCCGGACCCAAGAAGCGCGATTGTATTCGCTACAGATAAAAGCGTCTTTCATGCCTCATCCGATACCAAGTGGCATTAGGCAGAGTTAAGTAGATGACGCTTCTCATCTCTTTCCCGGGTGACTGGGTAATGAGCTTATGTCCCATGACAGGGTGGTCTGGGCTCGAACCTAGCCAAGTCAAGTGTATACTTCCTAGTTGAAGCGCCAGCGTGCTTGGGAAGGGAGTACCCGAGCACAGAGCGCTCCTATCTCTAGATGTGGGACGTTGAAGAACCGCGGCAGTGAAGGTCGAATCCCAGGGGAATCCCAATGCAAAGGCGAAAAATGCTTATATTTTCAGCAGCCTAATACTTCTTTTTTTAAAACGGGTCATTTAGGCATTTTCAATCTTCTGCAGTGTTTTCACTTGAGTTGGACATTTTTTCACTTGACTGACACTCATGCATGAGGAACGTCCCATGAACATGTGTTCGAGTCAAGTGAAATTTTAAAACGGGTCATTTAGGCATTTTCAACCTTCTGCAGTGTTTTCACTTGAGTTGGACATTTTTTCACTTGACTGACACTCATGCATGAGGAACGTCCCATGAACATGTGTTCGAGTCAAGTGAATTGTTGTCTAATGGGAAAAAGATGAGAATATTCATAATTCGCTTTACATACTTAACGTTTGGCATACTTCAGGTGTAATTTCAATATCGGTTATCGGCAGGTCATATATCGTTTTAGGCCGATATATCGGATTCACCTAATATCGGCCGATACCGATAACCAATAAAATATCGTTGCATCTCTAGTCCAAAACATGTTTCCTTGGGAACCCTCAACACAAATTTCTTTGTAACTGAGGGACATTTAAAGTTAGTTTAATGTTTATGTTTCATTTAAAAGCTTTCAAAGAATTTAAAAGATTTCATTTTGCTGCAGGTCTTTCCACATCTATCCCCCGCGGGAGGAAGAAGAGGAAGCGAGAGTGCCGCTCTTCAGCTGCCTATGAAGGCGATTGGAGCCAAGATGAGAAATATGACTCTGAAGTTTACCTTGACCCCATCTATCGAAAGCATGCAAATAGACAAGCTAACAAGTATGTTCCACTTCATATTTCACTTGATGGGGATGAGAATGAGAGTACATATTGTTGAACACAATGAAGGGTACCCATTAGTTCTTGGGGTCTTATTCAGACTAAAAACTTATGTTGCTAGGATGGTTGGTAGATAGAAGTGCCACTACTGCACTTTTTTGCCATGAAGTTGGAAGCTTGCTGTACTGAGACTAGAGAAACACTGTTACTTTGTAGTTAGATGGAAATTTTTGTGGATTTCCATCTATTTGATCTTATGTCAATCTGTGATCAAGTTTTTCAAAAGGATTGCCTTTCACCAAAAGATATTCCTGTATCTGCTGAAAATTTATAGGGATAATGTTCCTATAGTACAGTAAAGAAATTGTCTGCTGTTTTCTGACGAGGACCATATTCTAAGATAAGCCCTGCCCTGATAGACATTGAAGGGGGGTGACTGAGGAAACTTACATTAGGAAAACTGATAATTTAGAACATGCAAGTTGAAACTAGGGAAATAGTATAGGCCTTGAGCATCTAAAATGGCAGGGTTTACATCATTTTGCCAAAAATGCAGAGACTGTCAATAGTCTGTTCCAGCTGTGTTCCTCAAATGTCTGTTTTTGGTGACATAGTCACGATGAGTTAACAGATATTAGACTGGTTCAATGCTGATCTAGCAGATTTTGTTACACCTTTTTTTTAACGCTTTGTTTTTGGGGGGTGAAAGCTGGCTTTTTATCACTAGTATTCAAGCAGCAGTTGGTGCAATGGAGGCAAAAGTACATTCTGCTGCTCAAAAAGTTTTGAACACTGGCAATATTATTGCAATGGTTTTTTTTGTTGAAAAAGACAGGAGTGTTGGGACTCTCTAACAATATGATCACTGGTCATTACTCTGCTGCATAACTGGGAAGGATTTTAAAATGGATCTATCAAGAACAAACTTTAAGGAAAGGTGGCCCCATTTTGCATGACTAGGTGCTAACTCTTGCAGCCAATGTTTCATAGATGGCCCCTGTTATGATGACACAATTAAAGTATAATGTTGTGGAAATATTGCTCACAAAACGCCACATCAGGGAAAGAACTTATTTGCACCTCTCATATGTGAATCTCACAAAAAGCAACTGTTTATGCATGGAAAAGGGAGATGATGTTGGATTGGAACAAAGTAGTTGTCCCAATTCCTGTTATATCACATATCTCTTCTGAATCAATTATAGGACCAGATGCACTAGGTATGGTATTAAGTGGGCCTATTTGATCTGTTCTCAGGGTGCTCTTGAGAGTGAGGCTCCTCTACTTCATCCAGCAGGAAGTTATTGGCGAATGTGGCCCCCTTGTGGTTGCTGGCACTCATCATACGTAAGTGGTGTCATACCTCTTTGTCCATCCCTCTTATATCCAGAAATGATTTTGGTGTTGTTACCATTGTAAGCTTGTGCCATCTCATTCTGACTGAGTGATGAGCATGGAAACTCAAGCGGTTATTGGCTTTTCAGATAATCAGAGAATGTAAACAACCATTTATTCCCATTAGAGTTGAATTTTGCTTCTGGGTATTCAGAATTTACTTTGCATGTCTTGGATCTTTACTGTCGAGTCACTGAAAAATTGGATGAAAGTACTTGAATTACATGGAATTACTTGAATATCATGTGTTCCCATGCACTCAAGGAAATTGAGTAGTAAACCACATTTTTATTATGTTTGTAGGGAGCTGCCAGTCATTCCTCCACCCTGTGATAGTCCCCCAGTGAGTTGGTGGGACAGTGAAGCTGACAAGTGTCTACTGTTAGGTGTCTACAAGCATGGCTATGAACGCTTCAATGTCATGCGCATGGATCCTTGCCTGTGCTTCTTGGCTCGATGCGGACCTCCAGATGGTGCAGCTGTCCTGGCTGAAATGACCAATGGGCAAGTCATCTTATTTCAACCTCCTCTATGTTCAGGGTAGGAGTCTTCATTTTGTCTGAAAGTGAAGTGCATTACTCTTTAGCGGAGATGAAGATGGAGACAAAACAAGTGCAGGTGGAGCTCTTGATGAAGAAGAGGAAAGTCTTGCTGAGTCTACAAGTACACGAGACGAGTCAACATCTGTGTCAGCTACTGCAACTCCGACACCCACTCCTACCCCGACTTCAGTTGGGGAAGAAGGTCGTTTTCCCTTCCCCTCAGCCACAGATCTCAACAATCGCATTCGCCGACTTGTTACTTGCTACCAACGCAGTTACAAGAAGGAAGAAATGCGACTTGCTGCCAGAGCCAGGGTGAGTTTTGAGCAACAGATTACACCCCACTTTACCACTCTTCAGCCTTGTAGTGGCATTCTTCATGGATTCTGTTATTGTTTGAAAGTAACATTAGCACTGGCTGTCCATTGTATGACAAGAGGGAAGGCTGAGGCACAAATGTTGAAATATCCCAATGTTAACAGTCCTTTCATTCCATGGACTCCTTTGGGGAAAAGGAAATTTCTCTTTAGCTAAAGGCCCCTTCACCTTGCCTAAATGAGGTTTCTGCATTTGGGCTTACAACTCCCAAGTGCAGTGAGCATTTCAAGTAGGGCTGTACTGATATCAAATTTGAACAGGTATGCCAGTTATCAGTATTTCTTCTCTAAGTTTGGCAGTTTCATTACTGACATTCATTAGATAGTTGTGTTTGTTCTCAGTATTATCCATTGTGTCCTCAAGTGAGTAGTAGGTTATTAGTTTGAAGTGGATGGTCACATGAATTCAACTTCAGAAATCCTCTACTTGGTTTCTTTCAACTATTCTAGGTCTACCCTATGGCACTGAATTGGCTACATAAGCCCTCCCTACTTGTGGGATGGGTAGTTCTTATTTAATACTTATTTCAAGAATGTTTAGCAACTATGTTAGAAAGGACATTCGTGATTGCATAACAGAAAGAGGCAGCCTACATTAACCCAAGCTTTTCTCTTAATTTTATGCCTTTGGCCTTAAATTATCCTGGCATCTGTGGTGCAACTATACTTGTGATCTTGCAGTCATGTATTAAACTTACTTGATTGAATTTCTCATGCTGTCAGCCATCTTGCAAACCATTGTGCATCACTTAAACAAGCCATTGTTTCATCTCTGAGAGTCTGAATATCATAAGTATTCAGTGCCTTTTTCTTTAGAGGGAGGGATCCTATGGCAATTTTCTATTTCCCTTTTCCTTGAGTGTTCTTGAGTTCTGATGAATTCTGATCGGTAGAGTCATTGTGGCTTTCATGATGACTGATGTTTTTAATGATGAGCTCATGATCTCATGTTAAAAAATGAAAAAAGTCATGGCTGTATGAGCAGTTAGAGCTAGTATTATGGAAATGATTTCAGATCAACTGGTCTTAAACAACCATTTTCATAATCAGTACAGCCCTAGTTTCAAGTACTAGTACTTGAAAAGTTTGTGAACAAAAATGGAGATAATATGGCAGCATTATTAAAAAAGGACACATGATTATTTTTGAATGGAAACAGCCTACAATCAATGTCAAAGGAACAGTCACATCATTGTAAGAAATGCAATTTGATGGAAAATGGATGCTACTCATGGATTTATGGAGTATTATTTCATTTGCATGGTGTGAAGATGTATGAATGAATAAGTGTTCAGGAGATAATTTACCAATCATATGAAATTATTTCATGTCAGACTGTAGAGCATTCAATTTATGCTGATGCCTTCTTATTGACTTTTTTATGGGTATAAATTGGCAAATTGAAAACAGAAGTATAAAATCAAAATGTTTGTTAGGAAATAAAATAAAGTTTACGTGCTTCCATGATAGTCTCAAAAACTGAATTCCACACAGAATTTCATTAATGACTGGTGACAGATGTAGGCAGATCAGTGGGTGTTACAGCATACTAGAGCCAAGATTGTAGACTGACTGTTCTTTTAGAAAACCCTGAAGTTTTCTCTATCAATTGTTGTATCAATAATATCTAGTAAAATTGTTAGGCTTGTCAAATGTGCTCCAGAAAACATTGTGGCTCTCGTTATGCTAAGGATTTGCCAAGTTGTAGCTAATTTCATCCTTGTACAGGAAGTGTGCTCATGAAAGTCAATGCAAATGTGAAGTAGGCAAATGTACAAGGGCTGATCAAATTAAAGTGAGACTTTTTCATTTGTGCCACAAATAAAAGAGCTTTGCTAGAGTCTTTTGAGAGTACAATATTTCACATTGGTGTCTCATCATGGCATCACTGATAGTGCTGATGTAGTAGTGGACAGTCTCTTGACACATTCCTGTGATTGAAGATTTCTGATCCAAAATGGCTTTTGTGGTTGCCCAGAAATCTCTGATATGACACGTCATCATTCAATTGTAAAAAAATTTGATTAAAATTCTAAATATGTGAACATTTCTGAATATTCTGGTGTATGTGACATTAATTTTCAACAAGTAGCTAATCAATAATTCATTGTAAGGGTTATATGAATAAGACTGGGACTGAATGTGTTAACTAGGTGAAAGAATATGGCATTTCAAGTAACAGTGTGTAGAACCTGAGCTGCTCAGTGATCAGATTTCCTGGTGCTGAAGAGGTGCCTCTCACAAAAATTTATTGTCAAAGGAGTGTAGTTCATGGTAGGAGTCAATCCTGATGTGAAAGTGCCTAACACTGGCACAACAAGTTTACTGATAGTAAAAAAAAAATCTAAATGGTGGTCCATGACTAAGATTGCTTGAACTGGTGACTCAAGTTTTATGCACTTTTATGTGTTAAACAACTCATATACAGGGTGGATCAAAATTTCTTTAAATGCTTTAAAAGTGTTTTTCTCTATCAGACCTTTAGCTTTCCATAAACGGATTGCACCATTGAAAAGAGCACAAAAAATTATCTAGAAAAGTTCCCTTTTATTCTATATAGCCCCCATTTGCCTCTACTACATGCTTAAGACGCTTTGGAAATTCATCAACCACATTTCGCAAGTATTCTTCAGGCATTCCATCCCATATGCACTTCAAATGTAGCTTGAGTGAAGCAAGACTTGTCCTCAATTTTGGCATCAGTTGGGACTCCCTGTATGACCAGATATTGTAGTCAAGGGGATTCAGATCAGGGCAAGATGCAAGCCAATCTGATGGTGAGAGGAATGATTTGTGTGCAGGTGCACTGTCTTGTTGGGAACACAATAGGTCTGCTTTTGAAGCACACAAATAAAAAAAGACTCTCACCTTCCTCCAAAGCAACACTCCATCATTCTTTTCACCATCAGATTGGCCTGCATCTTGCCCTGATCTGAATCCCCTTGACTACAATATCTGGTCATACAGGGAGTCCCAACTGATGCCTAAATTGAGGACAAGTCTTGCTTCACTCAAGCTACATTTGAAGTGCATATGGGATGCAATGCCTGAAGAATACTTGCGAAATGTGGTTGATGAATTTCCAGTGTCTCAAGCATGTAGTAGAGGCAAATGGGGGTTATATAGAATAAAAGGGAACTTTTCTAGATAATTTTTTGTGCTCTTTTCAATGGTGCAATCCGTTTATGGAAAGCTGAAGGTCTGATAGAGAAAATCACTTTTAAAGCATTTTAAGAACTTTTGATCCACCCTGTAGACTGCACCAATTTAACTGCATTTTTTCTAATGGGACTCCTTTAGCCTGAGAAATCTGAACATTCCATACAGCTCAAGCTTGCACACTTTCTTATAAGGAATGTTATATTGCTTCATTATGTTATGAAGTTACCAGCTACAATATCACCATTGAAACTGATGCTGCTCAACAAAGTTACATCAATATGTATATTCATGTGTTCAAAAGACTTTGCCAACTGTTGCTTGTGACTAGAAATGAATATGTTATAACTTTCAGACACTTCATTCAAATTTGTTGCATCAGTCAGAGATTTCATTCTCCAAGATGAATGACATTGCCTGTTGTGCTCCACATGAAGATCTCAAGTGCTTTGAGAACCCAATATTGGCATAAACTGAAATTATGCCATATTCATGAATAAGGGTATTATATAAATAGTTTTCATTCTGCAAATTCTCAAGTAAAGAGTTGTGTTTTGTGGAGCACTGTAACCCTCACCAATGCTTTGCCAATTCTTGAAGAAGGTTCTGTCTATAGCACAGAAGGGTGAAGAGAAATTGAAACTTTCTCAACTCTAGATGCACTTTGTACTATCAGGGATAAGTGTCCTCTTTGTATTGAATGCTCTCAACCATCTCAGCAATTGGCTAATTTTTGGAATATGCTACTGATCAGTATGTTTTCCCTTTTCTCTCCTCTTTTTCTGTTTCTTCTTTTCCTCCATCTTTTCTCTCACCTTATTTCTACTTTCTTCCTCTATCAATCTGTACTTTTTGGCATCTCTGATGAGGGAAGCAGGTGTCAGGCTCAGAGGAGTTCTTTCCACTGGTATGTCTATCCCTGTTTCTCTTCTCATGCTATGCATGCTATGCTCAAAGCACTGAGTATTTGAATGTATGATTGATCTATAATTTTACCTGCATGAACCTATCATAGGATCTTGAAGCCTGTTAGGCAGAGTCCAGTTGACCTTTCTTTCACTGAATGTGATTATGCATTTTCGAATTGAGTTTATGAATGTTTTACTCATTTACCTTGTGGTCAATCTCACTTTTTATGGGCTAATGTGATGGTCATTTCATAATATCTTGAGCATGTCAAAGTTGAATTTGATAAACTTGTCTTCTTTTCAAGCTAATAAAGACAGAGATTAATTTTTATTAAGGGGAGCTGGGAAGTATGATTTGTACTTGCTTATCCTAGAACTCCTAAATCTTAAAAGTAATTGCATCATTTATTTCTTTATTTTCAAATTCAGTCAGCTTATCATCATTCTTGGTTCAAGTTAATGTAGGTATTCTGAAAATCATTTTTGGGCTGAGACTATTGTAATATATGCTCACTGGATAAGACACAGCATGTCAAAATGTTTTGTGTCTTCTTCATTGGGAATCCACCCTAAGATGGCTGAAAAAGTGAAAGATTCTGAAATGGTCAAGAAATTAAGTGTTTTTCTTTAATCATATGTAAACATGTCAGTCAATGCTATACATATGAGTTTTTTTTTCCATGTTTTTCTACCACAAAAAACTTTTGATAGTTTTTATACTGAAGATGTGGGAAGCTTTATATTCAGGTTGCTACGTCATCATGACACATTCATATCAATCTCTTATTCTGATGAATGGCATAAATCTTCTTGAGGTATCAGTATCAGTAACTGTACGATAGTTAGTGGAATCTTCATTGTGAACTTCACAATTCCTGCATTGTCATTGTTTTAGCACTCCTAGATTCTGTCAAAGAAATCCTTTTTTGAACTGGTTTTCCCCTCCTGAAGCGAATGGAGAGGCAAGAGAGGATGGAAGCTCTAGTCAGAGAAAGGGAACTGAAGCGTTTGGAGCTGCAGCAACGGCGTTGGAGCAAGAGAGAGGAGGCTGAATTTCAGCGGGTCATCGCTTCCTATGGAGTTGACTATGATCGGTTAGCTGCATGCTGAATATTTCTGTGTTCCTTACAGCTTTTTATGAGTTAGAGCACTTTCTCTGTGAAGAAATTGACTGAGTTTTGAGGAACCACCTTCATTCTTTGGAAATGATTAACTTCAGAGTGTGCTTTGTCCCTCCATGATGAAACCTTGCAGTTTCTGGATCATAGATTTTTTAATCCAAAAGACTCAAATGCTCACACTTGATTGATTTGAAATACGCTCAATTGATTTGAAATATGCTCACAATGTATTTATTCTTAAACCTGAAGGCCAATATATATTGCCTACTAGCCCCAGAAATATTCCTGCCTGTCTACCTGTCTTACATACTATAAGAGTAGAGGTCTGGAATGACAGCAAGATCTCTCATTCCTCATTTAGTCCTATTGTTAAACCCCTCATTTCATTTTAATCTCCTGCATAAATTGAGTAGTGTTCATTAGGCACACATCAACACTTAGGATAGTGCTTAAGATACAAAATTGGATGGTATGCTTGGACATCCCTCCAACAATAGGAAGACATCTCAGTGGGGTAGAGATACAAAGTTTTCTTCTGACATAATATTGCAATTTTCTGATGCAAAATTTATGTGTATGCATGTTTAGCTGCCCTCAAGGTATGGCATGCCCTGACTGTATGGTATGCAGTACAAAGTGTCAAAGGAGAGCAGAGAAATAGACAGGTTAGGTATTGAGGGAGAGACAGAAATGTAACCTGTTTAATGGGTACTTCTTAGATGAGTATGGAAGTTGGGCGTGTCTTTCATGTATCATTAAAAAAATCTCCAGTTTCTTAACCCATTATGCCTCCTGGACTTGTATCATCCCAAGCCCAACTCTAGCCCAAGCCAGAGTATGCACACAGCTTTGGAAAGTTGGGAGTCAGGGACAATAGCACATGTCCATTGCTTGTCAATGTTGTCTCTCTGCTATGGGGAAGTTTTATGAGATTTTCAGGTGTCCATGGTTATTTTGTATGAAACATCACAGAAGGTTCAAATTCCTATGAAATCAAGATCCAAATAATTTGGCACCTGCTAAAAAAGCAAGTGCAACCAGTAGGAACAAATTGAGTCACATAAATCATCTGTCAGTGAGATTTTGCTTTGAGAGCTTTGAGAATAATTTCATGGAGCTGTAATTGCACATAATCTGGGAAAAAGCACCAACTGTGTAAATGATGATTGGTTGTTACTGCACCATGCAGGAAGGAGAAACGCCTCGACTGGACTCGATTCAGACAGTTGGCACACTTGGATCGGAAGTATGATGATACCCTGAATGAATACTATCATGCCTTCATGGCCATGTGCAAGCGAATGGGTGGGAGGAAGTTAACACCAGAAGAAGGTGAGGAACCATCTTCAGAACTTGGATAGTATATAAATAACTTTATTCCTCTCTCATGCACTTTTTTTTAAATTGGATTATGGTCCCAGTAGAACTTTTGCAAATGGTTGTTGAGCCAATTCCTGAGGATCGGGCCCGTCGTACCCTGGAGACCATGGAGCTCCTCATTCGAGTTCGTGAAGAGATCCTCCCAGACCCAAAGTTAGAAGAGAAACTTCGAGACTTATGTCAAGTATCTGGAGATCTTCCTGACTGGTGGATCTGTGGCAAGCATGATCTGGATCTTCTGCTTGGTGTTGCAAGGTCTGTTGTGCATTCCTTTGAGTTTGCTGCTTCATTGTTATAGTGAGAAGTGTAAGTCATATGCTTTCCTTCCAACAGGCATGGCTTCTCACGCACCGATTATTACCTGCTCAATGATCCCACCTTGTCTTTCAAAGATGTGCTTCGAAGGTTTATGAGTGGTGAACCACTTTTAGATGAGGCACTCAAAAACAAGTGGAAGCCTGAAGAAAAGAAGGGAAGGGCTAAGGAGAAGCGGGAAGAAAGAAACAAAGGGAAAGAGAAAGAAGCCAAGGGACAGAATGGCCAGGAACTTGTGAAGGAGCTAGAGGAAGAGGAGAAGGTAACAAACAAAGATATTGATGAAAAAGTGGAGGAAGAAAAAGAAGTTGAAGAGAATAGTGAAAAGGGTGACAGAAGTGAAGACAAAGATTGTGTGGAGAAGCAAGATGTTGACATGAAGGAAATCGATGATGCCGATAAAATTGATGAAGAAGTAGCAGAAAAGCAGGAGGATCAAGTTGCAGAAAACAGAAACATAGCAAAGGCAGAAGAAGAAGAGGAGGAGACAGATAAGGATGTAGATGCCGGAAAAGTAAAGCTGGAAGGAACAGAGAAGGATGTTATAGGAAAAGCTGAGGAAGAGGGGACAGAGAAGGATGTGGTTATAGGAAAAGCTATGGAGGAAGGGACGGAGAAGGATGTGATTATCAAAAAAGCTAAGGAGGAAACAGAGAAGGATGCTGTGATAGAAAAAGCTAAGGAGGAGGGGACAGAGAAGGAAAGTGGGAAAGTAAATGAAGAGCATGTACAGGAAGGTTGTGTGGCAGTGAAAATGGAAGAGAGTGGCACAGAAAGTGAGGGGAAAGTATTGAAGAAAGAGAAAGAAGAAAAGCTAATAGCAAAGAATCCTGCACTCTCAGCTGCAGTTGGGATTTCCTTAGATTTCTCTCAACCTCTGTTGAGCTTGGCTCAGATGGATGAAGCCATTGGCCGACAGTCATATTTCTCAAGTGACCCATATGGAGATCCTCTCCTGTCACATGCCAGCACATTTGGGCAAGCCATTCGATGGCCTCGAGATAGAATCCTACAGATTCGTGTTGAGCATATCTCTAAGGCCTTGGAGACAGATGAATGGCCTGTACCAAAAGGTTATACATCTGGATCCATTGATTCAACACCTGATGCTACCCCTAGGAGAGATACTTCAACTCCCATGTCCAGTGGTGAAGAATCCCAGTCTCTCTTTGCACATCCTCAGCAGCAATCCCAGGCCCATCATGCTCTTCTTGGTAGTGATCCATTTGGGTTAAACCTGAATGCAGCCTTGCAAAATGCAGCCGCTGCTGCAGCTGCAGCAGCAGCTGCTGCTGCTGATTATGACCTTGTCTCAAGAACTGCCAGTAATCGAGGGAGGAGACGTACTCGCATTGACTTGGATGCTGAGCGAGGTGAGTGCTTTTTTGCATTTTTTTCTATCTCTCATTCCTTGACTTGTCTGAAATAAGTCTGACCTTCATTTCCTCTGTTGTTGTAGCAAAGTTACGAGCTCTGCTGAACTTTCATCACCTTTCAATGTTGTCACCGAGTGGAACAACTGCTTCCCCACGGTCAGTGTTAGAAGAAGAGCCCCGAGTTCCAGCAACACGAGAACCTCTTTCAAGTCCATCCCATCAGCAGCAGCAGATACAGCTTCAACCTCCTCCAGCCCATCAACATCCAAAAACGACAGTTTTGGCTCACATGCCTAGTGGAATGTTAGACTTGAGCATGAAGAGCACATCAAACACCAATGCAGCATCTCCATCTGCCACTGGTTCATCTTCCACTCCAGTTTTGACATCATCTGCTCCTATGGACTTGTCCAGGTTTGGCTCCTCAGTTTTTATTGGTAGATATTGAAATGGATCAATGAATAGGGATAGGTATTTTCATTAAATTGAAGTATCATGTTTTGTTGTCAGGAAGACAGATCCTGGATGAAATGGAAAGTCATCAATTCTTTTGAATAGATGATTGGGAACAAAATAATATACTAATTAGATACAAATAAAATTTGGGACATTTTGTATAATAATTTCTGAAACTAGCCATTACTTTACAGTTATAAACAAAATAATTTGCATTCTGTCTCCTTTTGTTCAATTAGGTGTGATTTACATAACATTGCAGATAGTTCATGTGCAGTGTTAAAATGTTGGTTCATTATGTCTTTCTCCCAATATAGCTTCAGTAAGCAGAGTAGTGGGAGTCATGCTAGCAAAAATCTGAAAGAGGCAAGAAGCTCAGCAGCAGGATCAAAGCTTCAGGATACTCTGGACAAGTTACGTCAGCGCAAGGTGAATGAATATTTTTTTTTCATTATCTAATTGTGAAGAAATGTAAAATTTAGTTAATTTAGCTTCAGTCGTACCTCACTTGTTATATTCTGTTTTAGCATAAGAAGTATGACAATTATACTTACACTCATGTCTTGGTGTGACATTTTGGGGAGAGGCAGGCAAACATTTTGTTTAGTACTGGTCTCTCCTTCCCAGTGGAGTGAAATTTAGCACTATTACTCAATTAAGATTTGAAAGTTCTCTAAGGATTTTGGCAAGACTGAATTATATCTAAATCCCAACCCTCAGATGTCACATGAATTCATGTGATCATAATTGCAGTTTGATAATATGTAATTGGGCTTTAGATTAAGTTGGGCTTGGTGTGAATTCCTAAAATTAAATAGATATTTTTTGTGCTTTCAATCACTTTTTTTTTTCCTGAAAGGCTTTGCATAATTGATAATAGATCTGTATAATTGTTCACATGAGAAATGATTTGTTCTTACAAATTTGGTAGTTCTTGGGTGCAACTTAAACTTTTGAATTGACCATATGTAATCTGATATTGATATAATGGACTGAATGTAATAAAGAAGCTGGACTTTGCTCAGAGAGTGTGACAGTTATTATTGCGAAGAGTTTTATTTTAAAAGAAAAACATGAAAGAAGCTTTTAATTTCCCTGAATTTTCCATCTTGTGTGATTGTCATTATTCAGCCTCCTGTCTGGGTTTGCACTAAGTTGTTTGCAGGTATCACCTAAAAATTCAGGAATCATTCTTGGCAAAACCTTTAATAAGTAAGATTAGATTTATATTCACATCTTTTCAAAATCAGTACCTTTTGGGGTCCATATCATGTCAGCCTCACGATGAAGGACAGGAGAAACTTGGATCACGGTGCTGACACATTCAAAATACTCTGACCCCAAAGGGTTAACCCTTTTGCTACCACACTTGACAATAGTTAAACTATGCCTCATACCCTTTGATTGCAATGTTTGACTTCTTCATTCCCTTGATATGTAGAACACAAAATCTTGTCTGCTCAGACACTCGATGCAGTTAAAATGCCCTGGAGTTTTACTTAATAACAAAAAATTAAATATGCAATGAAAGGGTTAGGCAGTGGTGCCTGACTGCTTTTGTTCCTGACTGAAGCTACAGTGCCTGCCTCATTTGCAGATGGAATCTGTGACCAGCTCACCAGAAAAAGAGAAAAAGAGGAAGAAGTTGGATCAAATTGTGATGGGACTATGTGCAGCAAAAGGTGGAAACAGTGCTTTGGGGAAAGGAGGGAATGAGGATCAAGCTGAAGGATGTAAGTCTCCATGGGGATCAGTTTCACAGAAAGAGGGAAAGGAGAAAGGCAAGAACTTGGGAGATCTGGGGAGGTCTTCTGTCACTATCACTCCCATTCCTCAATCTCGTTCCTCATCGGAACATCTCAAAATGGAAAGCAAGGAAGCCAAGGTGAGAGCTGGTTTTTGGAATTACCATTGGGGTTTGTTTGTTAATTGCATAATGGAGTCTGAATACATGGATTTCAAGGGTTTTCCCTCCTCCTCCCCTCTTGCCTCATCTTGGCATGAATTCATATCTTCTCTATTGTATTTATTTTCCTTAAGTGATGGAATCTTATTGGTGTTGTGGGCCAACATGAGTTTTACAAACCCATCAATGCAGCAATAATATCTTAAGATTGAAAAAAAAAATCCAGGAGAATGTAAAACTTTTTATGAATCTTCTTTGAATGTTCTCTTCCTTTGATCAAATGTATAATTGTGACTCAGAAATATGGGGACAATTCATATCTTGCCAAGGCTACTTGGACATTTTTCTAATTGATAAGAAGGGAAAGTTGCCTGACATGCAAGAAGTCAGTGTTTGACCTGCTATGAAGGTTGTCCTCTAAAGACTGAAGCCTTTAGCAGACTAGTACTGAGACTGAGAACTGAGAATTGCTATTTATACTCGTGTACTGGATGACACAACATATATCCTCTTCATATACATATATCCATTCAGTACGTGTACTTTTAAAAAGGCTAAGTTGTTTTACTTTATTTCTTAGCATGGAGAAGTTATCCTCAAAATTATTTTTGAAAGGCTGAAGTCAATTGGAAATACCATCTAGTAAAAAGCCAAAATATTATTGGTTGGACATTTTCTTAGTGTCCCTGTTTTCCTGCAGTATATGCTATAAATAGTATGTTCTGGCAAGCTTTTATGAATGTTTCTCAAGCTTTGAGGGCTGATTGTCTAGTTTCATTCCTTCCATTCCCATCTAAGTCCAAGAAGCCTCTTTATTTGTGCACCCAGCTATGGGCCCCCTTTAATAATGGTGTGATTGTTATTGTATGAAATAAAAAAAAGGAGTCCATGTAAGTTGCAGTCTCATATTTTCACTTGAAGTGACATGGCAAGGTGAAGACAGGCAAGAAATAGGGTTCTCTCATTCCTGGTGGTGTACTCAAAGAACCACTCATAATGCTCATTTTGCAAATCTCTCAGATTTGCATTCTTCTCAGATTCTGTTCTGTGAGAAACATTTTACATGCAGTCTATTCACTGAAAGATTTACCCAGCCCAGATGCAATCCACAGAAGGGTAGGAATTCTTTTGGCAATTCACGGAAATTCCATATTGCTTTTTATAATGGTTATTTTGATTTCCATGAAATGAGGAGCAGTCCATCATTCAATGTATGATGAAGGCATTTCCCTTTTTTATTGTCTAGGTGAATCGTTGGTTAGCAGAGCAATTGCACATCACCCCAGATCGACCCAGTAGCCCCAGCTCATGGTTGGATGGCTCACGTCGATCTATGGCATCTCCTGGGTTGACCGGAAACAACACAACCAGTGCTGTTGGGCGACGGCCTCGAGTTGATCCCAATGCCCTTGACTGGAATCGCCTGACTGGTGAAGAAAATGTTGCTGTCATCAATCGACTCACAGGGAAAAAAGTACTGGAGTCATTATGCATACTCATAACAGTTAATGTCCCCTCTATCCACCCTTGGTGAATTCATCTGTTTGTTGTTCCTTTTTTCAGATCACGGGAGGCAAGGCTCCTCAGCTGAAACATCTAGCTCAATGGCTTTTGGATAATCCTATGTTTGATGTGGATCCAAAGTGGGCAGAATTGGTCCGCCTGAAAGGAAATCTTCCAGATGATCTTCAGAGACGCATTTCATTGGAGAAGAAGAAGGGTCCAGGTCGGCCTCCCTTGCTCTCATCACCAAGTGCTGCTCACTTGTCAGCATCACCTGGAACTTCAACCTCCTCCGCTTCAGCAGCAGCAGCTGCTGCTGCTGCCGCCGCTGCTGCTGTTTCTCTGTCAACAGCAGGGCTTGGAGCTGTTGGTCCAAGCTACACAACTCCTGGCCTTTCATCCCTGTCAGCCTTGAATTCAAATCTTCTTGCAGGTTTACCACTGGGATCTCTGGACCCCAAGAACCCTCTACCATTCCTCTCTCCATTTGGTGGCCTCCACAGCTTGGGACTTTCTAATCCACTATTTGCCAATCTGGCAGGTTTCAGCATGCCTTCAATTCCAACACTCGGTGATCTTTCCTCCCTGGCTGAGTCAGCAGCAGCTGTTGGAGCTGTTTCCTCAACAACTGGAAGCCACTCTCGAGACAAGGACAAAAGTGGGAAAGGGAGTGGGACTGGAAGCAATCCCATGTCCTCATTCCTCTTTCCACCACCTGGTTTCATGTATAATCCTCTGGCTCTAGGGACAATGGGTGGATTTTCTCTCCCTCCTGGGTTCCCTAGCACACTCCTTAATGGACTAAATCCATGCAGTGTCTCATCTTCATCAGCCATGGGGAGTCTGAGTTCTCTTCACTCAATGGCCAAAAGTGGCAGCACATCAGCACTCACTAGCTCGATTCCAGACTTTCATATGGGATCTGGGAAGTACCAGTCGGGGACAAAGTCCTCGCGGACTTCCACAACAACTGCACATCCATCAATTGCTGCCACATGCTTGAGTGCAGCCTCAAGTCATAGTCACAATCAGAAAACAGGCAACAGTGGCCCAGGAAGAAGTGGGGTCACTGTGGCAACTGGGGACAGTGACGATGAGAGTCTCAAGAGTTTGATGGGGAATCATGATGATGATGATGATCTCGGCCCTGAAGAGAGTGAGAGTGAGAACAAGAATGTGGAACGAGTTGTGCTGAAAGAGAGTAAGGATTTAGAAAAGGAAGTGGAAGAACAGCGAAGAAATTTGCTACGGGAAATACGTGGAGAACGCAGTGGACTGACCAAAGAAGAGAGGAATCTCCTCCGAGAGAAGAAGAAGGAAAGGCTCCTCAAAGAAAGGACTTCACCCCGTGGTGAAAAGGGAAAGCACCGGCATGATGCTCCAACATGAAGCAAGTGGAATGGCTGAACCCACTATCCTGTGTTCATTCAGAGGACATCTGGCTGGATGCACTAATCCAGGGATTGGAAGATAACTAGAGGGGTGGGGCTGAGTGGGATGCATGTACTGTATGTTTCTCATTCTCCATGTTCCTTTTCCTTTTTGTTGTCTTTTGCCTCCTTCCTGTCCTGGATGAGGGAGGAGGGTTATTACGCTTAAAAGGAAAGTCTCACTCCCTCCCAAGTTCCTCCATCTTTACCTCTCTCGTCTTCATCAAAATGGAGACAGACCAAGCAGAGGCTGATTTCATGATGCTGCTGATTTTGTGCTGTGGCTTGGCTGCTTGAGCTGGAGGGACTTTGAGGGAGTGAATCCCACAGTTGAAGCACATTTGTACATGAGAAGCCAAGACTTTGTTTCATGTATTTATGAATAATAAGAGGAAATTCAGAGTAGATTTTTTCTCTGCATTAAATATGAAAAATGGTCTCTAAAGAACTTGGCATTTTTAATTTCTACTCCAGTGAGCTTGCACATTTTGCTGACTGCTTGGTAACCATTCTGTAGCTAATATAGAGTGAATTGAATTGTTCCACCAAGAACGCACACATGAATGGAAGGAAGTGAATGCTATCATTGTAGAGTTCTTACATTACATTTTCTTTTTACATTTTGAACATCAAATTACCTGTAATATAATTTGGGTACAATAATTCTTTGAAAGTTAGTTCATATTGTTTCAAAGCTGGCCAAAAACACTGGAACATGTTTATAGTAACTGTTGGCTGGAGCTTCTCAAATGGTTTCGCAGGCTTCACATGTCATCTCTAAACAGCGAAATAACAGTCAGGCGACGAGCATGTGGTGCTCGAGCCCTATGGTAGTGCATCCATCTGCCGTCTGGGAGACCCATGGTTTGATTTCTGCCGATGCGGGTACGCATTCGCATTCCACTTGGTGTGAATCAAGTATGGAATTGAAATTAAATGTGCCATTATAGTAAAAGGCAGATACGCCACCTTGCACAGAGGGGACCCGTGCTGGTCCTGTTCAATGAACCTGAACATCTGTCGGTCGAGAGCGGCTTCCCTAGGTATTGTGAATACCGATAGTGTACTGTGCCCCCTGCCCCAGTGATGGAACGGCAGTCAAGAGCACTTTCTGAAGTTCCCGGTGAAACAGGAATGGACCTACCTTCCTTTACGCTTGTAAAACCCACCAGGATCTCGTAGCGACCAATCGAGTCGAAACTTTCACTTTTGCTTTAGACGTCATCGAGTGTGTGGACCTCTACTGAGAGTACAAGTCACACAACTGCTTTTAGGCAACCAATGACAATGCGACATAATCCCATCTTTTTGAGGAAGAGGTTTGCACTACAGGTGGTTTTCAAGTTGAAAACATTGGGTTGTTGAATTAGAAGCTAGTCGGTTATGCACAAAGTAGTTCATTCATGGTTCGGGTCAAGTTTATTTGTCTTTTTTTCTTTCAAGATTTTATTCAAGAAAAATATCGATTCACATTCGTATGAAGTCGCAGACATTGACTCACTATTGAGTCGTAGAAATCGAGACAACAATGCAGTGACGTAGCGTGATTGGCATGGGCCCTGGTGCAAGGAATGAAACGGGGCCCGCTGTCCAATTCCTTACTATTTACGTGGAAGTCATATTTTTTTGCTAGTTTTCTCCGGCAGCATATAAATCGTCGTCGACAGCTGAAGGCAGTGGCGGATTCAGAAAATTTTCGTAGGGGGGGGGCCTGTTTCCTAGTTCCCAGCCCCCCCCTTAATCCGGCCCTGGATGAATGGTATTGGAAGTGGCCACCACTTCATTTAACCACAAGAAGCGGCGTCCCAGTTGCTAGATGTCTGTGCAGTGTCGCGTTGAATTCCTTTGATTCCTTTTGACCTTCCTTGTACGGCTGCTGGCTCTCACCTCGTTCCGATGCCAAGGGGCTCCCAGCTAACGCCCCTCTGGTCCGTGGGCCCCGGTGCAGTCGCACCGCCTGCACATTCGGTAGCTACGCCACTGCAACAATGTCATAAGTAAATGCTCTCGAAAGAGCGAAAAGACACGAAGTTCACTTTTTAGAAGGAAGATATTTTAATTATTGCGTCGCCATGGCGCTGAAGAGACCCAAGCACTCCAGAATACAAATACATTTTGGGTTAAGCCCATTCCTTGGTCTGGAATGCATGTTGCATTGTTTTGAACAGCCCAATGAGAAGCAAGACCGACAGACAAGTCCGTTGAGACGCAAAGCACCTTAGATGGGTCTTTTTTGTGGAAGGGCCGAAAGATTACGATTTAAAGAGGTTGGCATCATGAGTTCAAAGGAGATGGAGAAATCTCTCAGAATTCGCCCGGTCGTACTGTATTCTTGACGAGGGTGACGCCAGCCTTTTCTTCACCGCTTATCCTTGGTTTACAGTAAATGTCCATGGTAGAAGGAAAGGAGGGATGAAATGGTCAGTAGGTCAACCCATTGTAGTCCATCACGACAGGGTTATCATAAGCCCAATATATTCGGGACCCATTCTGAAACTGTCCTTGGATAGCCAGAAGTTTCTGCCTTGCCTCGGGGTCTCCCGGTCCCCAGTCTGATGTCGGCACAAATGCTCTTCTCGGATTCTACCAACAAAAGAGAAAATCCAGCATGATTCGGTTGCCAAGAAACAGGCTTTCCTTAGGTGCTTTACTTTCCAGAGTGACTATAATGGTTTAGTGAAGGGTAGTGGAGAGGGGACGAAGCGGATGAAACTGTCCAGGCACTTGGAGGACGATTTTTCTGAAGTGGAATTATCTTATTGAAATCATCAATGTGGAAGTGAAGGAGAGTATAAGGGTAAGAACGAGAGAGCCTGCATTCACGAGGATAAAACATTGACGAGGCTGCTGTCACGAAAAAAATGAGTTTTCCTCCGATCCGGTAAGATTCTATCCCTCTGGATGACGGACCCTGTCGACCGCCGTTGAGGAATGCTTTTCTCTCACTGTCCCCTCCCCCCGCTTTATGGACGCTCGCGTGCTACGTTTTACTGGTGGTCGCCGTTCCCATTCTTTACGCCCCTTTTCCTAATTGGGAACCTCATGGTTCCCAGGGGTTCTTTTTATTGCATAAAAATCTATCCCACTCCTTCATAGACTTTCTCACTAATTCGCTGAGAGAGCAGCAGGGCTCACCCCTTTGAAGAGATGATAGATGAAGATGGCAAATCCCCAAAGGGGGATCTGGACAACAGTGACTGCAGCAAGGAACCAACCGACTCCTTGAGCCCAGGGTTTGTAAACCAGTTCTCCGGCATACGAATGGGGTTCCCATGTCACCATAGAATAGATGAAGATGCCCTTAGGTGAGAAGGAGACAAGAAGCCACTACAATACAACCAAGCACATTAAAGGAGAAAAGTCTTGCAAAAACAAATTGGCCATATGTCATTCGCTTTCTCACGCAAAATTATGCCATGGGTATGGGTCGCTTCATGAAGAAAATATCAACTTCGCGCATACGTGAAATGCCCTTCAACCTTGTAGCTGCTAATGTTCTGAGTCAATAACTCTTCCCTAGTGCTGAGTTAAAAAAAGGATTTATTACTTTTGGACTAATTAATAAAGGTCTGCAAATTAGGCTTACGCGTTTTACGCGCTGCTGGTGGTCTCTCGTGGTATTGGGATGCATCAACACGATTATTTGCATAATTTATAGTCATATTCCAAGAGTCAATGCCAAAAAGTTAATCATTACAGACGGACGCGTATACCCGACAGTAGCAATCAAACGGTTAATGTCATGTATGTTTAATGAAGTTTACATTAAAGTAAAAGTCACATTTTTTCCCCCAAAAGTTTACCGTGATATTCCCAACTTTCTCTATTAGGATGCCCCAAATTTAAATTTGGGACTGCCATGAGATCAAAAGAATATGAACAATAATGTGACAGTAAACAATAGTTTTAAAAAATCTGTCAAGAAAGCGCTAGAAAAGTCTAAGTGCTACAGGTTCGTGGAGAGATTTGCGGATAAGCACACTGGAGATTTAAAGAAAACAATAAACAGATTTATTTATAATTAGTTACATGAAACTTATTACATATCGTCATGTTCTATGTGAGAAAATATATACTATATTTAATTATACTATTGCATATTAGGTACAATGATCAATAGGCGCGATAGCGTCTATTACCTTTCTTCAACCCTTCCGACGACAAAATTCAACCGTCTCGTATTCCTCTCTGAGAGCATCAACAGGAACGAAATTTAGCATGCTTCTTCCTCTCTCAACACAGAATCGCTCTAGCTAATTTGAAGCTCCATCTCCCCGGGGTTGTGGAGATCACTGAATCACGCTTTTCGGAGATGTGAATTTCATTTCACTCTATTTCGAGGAATTTGGTTTCGAGATGAAGCAATTGTGAATTAAATTATTGAAGTGACCTCCAAGATAGGCCTCATATGATCTATCAAACCGACTTTTCTTCAACGCCGAATCGTTGTGTATCTCCTCAATAATCAGATTGTTCCCCACAAGACGACCCAAAGGAGGCAACTCATTCACTGTAATTATTTGTCCTTTGCTACTTTTTTTTACCTTCCATCGAAATCGGGCGAAAGATACAGGAAACAAGAGCAGATAAAGGCACATGGTGACGTCATCATATCACGGGCGAAACTTGAAGACGGAAAGGAAGCGGACTCGCCTCGACGGTCTGGTAACGTCCAGCAGGGCCACCGAAAAGAAATTGTGGGGCCCTGAGCATATATTAATATTTAGGTGTGTGGGCTCTCTTTTCACTCTTCCCGGCCCATTTTAAACGCATTCAATCAACTCTCAATTGCTGAAAAAAAAAAAACGCTATGCTACTCAACAATAGTATGCTAGTCGGTGGTATAGTGCCAGGGTCCACTTCGGGCATGGAGCCAGGGAAAAATTTCCCCTTCCCCCCCCCCCCCCTCCAATCTACGGGCCTCACGCCCGATCTGTGAATACAGTTCATTGCGTAATGCAGTTTCAGCCGTATCGTTCAAAGCCACCTTCAGCTCTGTAATGGACAACTGTCGAAGACTTACAATAGGAGTACATACGAACCGCTTTTATGAATATAGACGTACGACATAGCGTAGAAACTGCCTCCATACGTCTGTTGCAGTAGCATCTACTCTGGTTTAACTCTTTGGCAGTTGAGTATTTGAATGGGATGAAATCCATAGGAATATTTCAGTAGAACATTTCTATGAATATGATTATATTTAACCATAACCACTGAGATATTAATTGGTAACCGTGAAGCGTTGAAGTGTAAAAAATGATTAATCATTGCGTAACCTGTGATGCATGGGACGACTCGTAATGCGTAATATCAATGCGTAACAGCCAAAGGGTTAAAGA